GGTCAAGACCATTACTAGTTTCTTATGTTTGATTGTCATTAGTTTCTTGACTTTGTGTACAATCATAAATTCTTTTCTTTGAACTTAATTCATGTCCTTTCTTATAAGGAAAGACATGTTCAAAAAAACACAGCATTCCTTGACTCTATAATAGTGTTCACATTTATATCAGGTATTTCTGATTTATAAGTTAGAAACCGATATGCACTACTATTCTGAGCATAACCAATAAACACATAATCCACTGTTTTTGGTCTAATCTTAGTCTTTTTAGGAACAGGGACTTCAACTTTTGCCAAACACCCTTACACTTTTAAGTATTTGTAAAAAGGCGGTCGACCTTTCCACAATTCATAAGGAGTGTTATTAGTTTTCTTGTGGGGTATTCTATTAAGAACATAATTAGCAGACAATATTGCTGCCCCCCATAAGTTCTGTGGTAAGCCTGAACTTAGTAACATGGCATTCATCATTTCTTTTAAGGTTCTGTTCTTCCTTTCAGCAATTCCATTTTGCTGAGGAGAATAGGGTGCTGTAGTTTGGTGAATAATGCCATGTTGTGCACAAAATTCATTTAATGGTGCATCATATTCACCACCCCTATCACTTCTAACTATTTTAATGGTTTTACCAAGTTGATTTTCAACTTCAGTTTTGTAGAGTTTAAACATTTCTAAAGCTTCATCTTTACTTCTAAGTAAATAAACATAACAATATCTTGTGCAATCATCGATAAATGTTCTGAAATATTTTTTGCCTCCTCTAATTTGAACAAATTTAAGATCACATATATCTGTATGAATTAATTGTAGAGGTTCGGTTTTTCTTTCAACCGATTTAAATAGAGTCTTAGTTAGTTTCGCTTCTACACAAATCTCACATTTGTGATTAGGATCAATTTCAAACTTTGGTATATAATCCAAACCAATTAATCTACGCAAAGCATCAAAATTCACATGTCCTAATCTACCATCCATAAATTCAACTCAAGAATATAAGCAAAAGATGTGTTATTCTTATTACTAGCAACTTTTGGTACAACCGTCATTACATTTAATTTGAAGAGACCATCACTCATGTATCCCTTACCAACATACATACCACTCTTTGTTAATACAAATTTATTAGAATTAAAGACAAGCCTAAAGCCATTTTTAATTAACAAAGAACCAGAAACTAAATTCTTCCGGATGTCTAGTACATGCAGTATGTTGTTGAGGGTCAGTTCCTTCCCTAATGTCATCTTCAAAATCACATTTCCTTGTCCAACCATAGTAGAAGTAGAAGAATTTCCCATGAAAAGTTGTTCACCATTTGCAGCCTCATTGTAGATAGTGAACATTTTCTTGTTCCCACATATATGACGAGTTGCCCTAGTGCCAACCCATCATTCCTTGGGATTTCCAACCAAATTAGCATCAGACACCACAGCAGAGAGGTTGATGTCATTTACCCCGTCAGAGATGTAATCTAATTCTGTCACATTGGCTTGATTTGTGGTCTTCTTACTTGTACTTCCGCAATCCTTCTTAGGGTGGCGGCAATCAGAAGCTCGATGTCCAATCTTGCTCATCTTTTTGCGTTTATGTTTTAAATAATTATTGAAATCTTTCCAAGCCAGTGGTAACTTTTCCACTAGAGCAGCGACTTGGAAAGACTCGCTAAGAGATATACCTTCTGAATGAATATCATGCAAAATTATTTGAAAATTTTGAACTTGATAAATTATCATTTGGGAATCTACCATAACAAAGTCCAAAAATTTACCAACAACAAATTTCTTCGTGCTGGCATCCTCTGTCTTGTATTTCCTCTCCAAAGAATCCCACAATTCTTTTGCTGACTTCAAAGGGCTGTAAACATTATACAGCATGTTGTCAAGGCTATTGAGGATGTAGTTTCTGCATGGGAAATTTGAATGTTTCCAAGCATTCTATAGCGGCAACAACTTACCAATCACTTTCACCCTCTTTAACTGCTGGAGCCTCTTCACGGAGAAATCGGGCCAAATTTAGAGTCGTAAGATAAAACAGCATCTTCTCCTGCCATCTTTTAAACTTAGTACCGTTAAATTTTTCTAGTTTTTCTCTATGATTTATTGGTACTTGAACATAGTTCTAGATAGGGACTGATGTTGGTGTAACAATTGGAGTACCACTTCCAGTTCCAGTTTCAGTTTCAGTTGCAGTAGCCATAATATCTAATTACAAAAATTAGAAAAAATCAAAATACAAATTAATTTTCTAGTTACCAAAATCAGAAAATAAAATATAACACAAAATAATTTTATTTTCCTTGTTACTAAAACTAGAAAAATAAAATACCAAAATAATTTTTGGTAACACAAATTAATATTCTGCAATTGTTAATGACACCAGTATATTACTACTAGTTGTCAAAGAAAAAGACAGTATATTACTACTATTTGTTAAACAGTATATTACTACTATTTGTTTTCCAACCATAATATCACTTTTGTGAAAATACAGAAAATTAAATACAATGAAGACACCAAAAAATAACATGTCTTAAGATTGTTGGACAATCTTCAATGTATTTGGAAAAATAAATTCTGTTATGTACTTAACAACAACCAGAATACAAAAGAAATAAAGGAAATGAGAGAATTTGTTTGATTACAAAAATTGAATCAGGAAAATAAAATAAAATAAATAAAAGCATATTTTTATTTTGTTACAAAAACAAAATCAAAATCAAAATTTAATTTAAATAAATAAATAAATAACAGAAAATAAATAACCAACTTACTTGATTAATTTCTTGAATAATATTCTGATCAAGTTCAGTGTTTAACACTATGTCCTTAAGATAGATTCGTCCTCTCCACAGTGCTTTCAGAATATGGACGTCTATCTCCCAGGATAAAATGATCAATCAACGAATAAATGCAGTACTACAATTTATTCGCACAACGAACACACTAAGTGTTTACACTCTTGAATATGTGGACGTCTATCCCTCAGGATAAAATGATCAACAGCAAATAATAGCAACATTACAAATTGTTTGCACAACGAACGCACTAAGTGTTTACACTTTTTTCTCACAGAAATTTAATGCAGCAAAATGCAGAGAATTATTGTAGAGGAGAAGTACGAAAATTGTGAATGAATAATCAGTAAAGGGTCTGTCTATTTATAGAAGAAAATGTGGCTGTTTGGTTTGAATTAAACAGGTGCAAACCTGTTTAGTTTGAATTGAATAGATATGACACTGTTTCGGTTTGAATTTGAATAGATACTGAAACTGTTCTGATTTAAATTCAAACAGATAAAAATCGGGAAAAATTTTGGTGGAGGAAAAAATCGGACAGATTTTTTTCGAAATTAATTTGAATTCTGGACATAAATTTCATTTTACCAAAAAATAAAATTAAATTCAAATATTTTTAACCCAAAAAAATTAGTATTGGGCCAGACAAGCCCAACCCAACCTCACACCATGTACTCGTGCCTAGCCAAGCCTGCCCGAGTGGTCAGCGGCGAGCGTGGTTATTTTTGGGTCCAATGGGTCTAGCCCATTTTGCCCATAACCTTCCTCTCTACAAAACTTGGGTACCCCTTGGGGCACACCCCAAGTTTCAATCCCATGCCTTATAAACCCACTCAAAACTTCTTACAAAATCAATGTGGGACAAGCCTTATTCAAACCTTTGAGGATTTTCCACCAAAACTCCATTTTCATAGAGCTCACTTTGGTTTCAAATTCTCATTCACCCGGTAATGGTTTTGAGCAACTGAATATATCACGTGAATCACAACGCGACATAGAACGCATTACCACTTAGACCCGCCAAATTTGGCGCACAGGTCCCATCTAAATAATAGATCAAAGTTATGAAAAAATTCTATTTTTACCCAGAATTTTCGAACCATTTCTAACATCTTTTTGAATAGCGCTACTACTTGTTCTATAATAAGAAAAAATGTATCCATATAATACAATTTGTTTTTTGTATCAAAGAAAAAAAAAGGTTGCAACTTGCAAGCAAAGTCCCGGTGAAATTGGTGATGTGATCCTATCAAATAATTTTTTTCTTTCCAGGAGCAAATCAATCTTGATTTCTCTTCTTTTCACTCTAAGATTTAAACATGATCTAAAAAACTAATCTTATTTTAAATTTTAGGATAAATTATAAATAAATTTCATGAAATTTGTTTAAAATACGAATTACTTGTATAGTTTGGAGAATTATAAATACTTCACTGTTGAAATTTTTTATTTAACAAAATAAACAAAAAAGAAAAAAAAATATAACTACCCTTTTATACAATAATAAAATTATTTGAATTTTTAATTGAAATAAATTTTTGACATCATTAAAATTATTAATTGACTTAATAATTTATTAGTAAAAAAGGCCATTTGTTATAAAGCCAAAAATTTTAAAAATAAAATGTAATTTTCAAAGCCATATAAAACAATTTATATCTTATGTAAATCTCAAAAATGTTTTCGTAATTTATCTTAACTTTGTTAAAAAAGAAAAAATAATATATTGAATGGTAGTTTCTTGTCAGATCATCTCAATAGCTTTATTTCGGTTGGTAGCAATAGGACAAATTCACAACCACTGCTTGTAACGGTGGACCCTAGGGGACTAGAGCCGGCTGCAATTTGTATTATTATAGGTAGTGTTTGGTTTCTTCTTTGCTAATTGCAAAGATGGCCCCTCCTTCCAAAAATACTTTCATTCTCACCACAATTAATTAAATTAGAAATATTTGATTAATGATTTATTGTTGTGTTTTTTTATCACTTGGTTGTTTTATTTATAAATTTAGTTATATATCATCACAATTTTTATATAGAGTTTAATTTTAAAATAATATGACAATGACAAAAAATATGTTCACGACCTATTCTGTTTGTATAGCACTATTACTATATTTGTATAGCACTATTACTATATAATTTTTCTATTTGTGTAACAGTACTACTTGTTTTATAATATGAAAAAAATATACATATAATACTATTTGCTTTTTTGTTTTTGTTTTGTACATATTATAATATTGACTGAAAAATTTACTTCTTTCACTCTACAAGGCTACAATCTATTTCCTTCTTTTTCCTAATCTCTGTTTCTACCTCTGCAACCAAAAGAAAAAACAACATGGCTGCCGCCTTGGTTGGAGGAGCATTTCTGTCCGCCACCCTTCAAGTGCTGTTTGACCGTTTGGCTTCTCGCGAGTTCGTCAACTTTTTCCGTGCTCAAAAGCTTGATGATAAACTCCTCAGGAAGCTCAAGTCAACATTGCGGGGACTTAATGTTCTGCTCGATGATGCAGAGGACAAGCAGATCACTAACCTTGCTGTGAAAGACTGGATGGATGAACTTAAAGTTGCTGTGTATCATGCAGATGATTTACTCGATGAGATTGCTACCGAGGCTTTGCGATGCAAGTCTGAAGCCAAGTACCATAGCGGGTCAGACCAGGTACGAAGTCCCACCTTGATTTCTTCTTCTAGTTCATTTGATGCAGATATAGTGTCCAAGATAGAGGAGATCATTGATAGATTAGAATGTTTTCCCAAAGAAAAAGATGTCCTCGGTTTGAGAGAAGTTGCTGGGCAAAAATTGTATCACGGATTGCCAACAACTTCTTTGGTTGATGAATCTGGTGTTTTTGGAAGGGATAATGACAAGGAGGATGTAATTAAGTTGCTGCTCTCAGATGAGGCAAGTGGTGGTAATCAGAAGATAGATGTGATTGCGATAGTGGGGATGGGTGGGGTTGGCAAGACCACCCTTGCTCAATTTTTATACAATGATGGCAGAGTGGATGATCACTTTGATATGAAAGCATGGGTTTGTGTCTCTGATGAATTCGATGTTGTAAGGGTTACAAGAACAATTCTTAAGGCAGTCATTCCGCAGGGTTCTGACACAATGGACCTAAGTAAAAAGGACCTTAATGAGCTTCAAGTCAAGCTCAAGGAATGCTTGAGTGGGAAGAAATTTCTTATGGTTCTGGACGATGTTTGGAATGAGAACTATGTTAACTGGGATAGCTTAAGGAGTCCTTTTGAGTATGGAGGACATGGGAGCAGGGTCATTGTTACAACGCGCAATGAGAGCGTTTCATCTATTATGCAAACAGTTCCTATTCATCGTTTGCAGCAATTATCGGATGAAGATTGCTGGAAATTGTTTGCCAAACATGCATTTGAGAAGCGAGATTGTGGTGCACATCCAAACCTCGAAAGGATTGGTAAAGAGGTTGTGAAAAAGTGTAAAGGTCTGCCTCTAGCAGCAAAAACATTAGCCGGTCTTTTGCGCTCTAAACGGGATGTTGAAGATTGGAATAATATATTGAAAAGTGGAATATGGGATTTGCCAAAGCAGAAGAGCAATATTCTTCCAGCCTTAAAATTGAGCTATCATTACCTCCCTTCGCATTTAAAGAGATGCTTTGCTTATTGTTCTATATTTCCTAAAGATCATGAATTTGAAATGGAGAGATTAGTCCTAATGTGGATGGCTGAAGGTTTTGTTGAGCAACCCAGAAGTAAAAAAACGAGGGAAGAGGTAGGTTATGAGTGCTTCAATGAATTGCAATCAAGGTCATTTTTTCAACGATCAAATGCCAATAAATATTGTTTTGTCATGCATGATCTTGTTAATGATTTAGCTCAAGCCGTGTCTAGGGATTTCTGTTATATGTTGGGCGACAACACACATCATATATCTGAAAGGGTACATCATTTCTCATGTGTTAGAGGCAAATTTGATGGCTTTGAAAAATACAAGCTAATTAATGATGCCAAGTTTTTAAGGACTTTTCTAACACTAGGCTATTCTTATTCGTGGTTGAGCAAAAAGGTTTTGGATGATATTTTACCAAAACTAACATGCTTACGGTTGTTGTCTTTGTCACGTTATAAGATTATGGAATTGCCTCATTCAATTGGAAATTTACTACATCTACGGTATTTGGATCTTTCTTACACGAAAATCAAACAATTGCCTGAATCAGTTTGTACCATGTATAATTTAGAAACATTACTGCTATATAATTGTCGTCAGCTAATTACCTTGCCTGTAAATCTTCAAAAACTAATTCAGTTGCGCCATCTTGATCTTACCGGAACTAATTTACAGGAAATGCCAATGCAAATGAGTCAATTAAAAGACCTCCAACTTTTAACTGCCTTTGTGGTGGGCAAGTCCAAGGGGTTAGGTATTGAAGAGTTGAAGGAGTTTCATCATCTTCAAAGGAGGCTCTCCATTTCAAGTTTGCAAAATGTAACTAATGGCATGGGTGCAATGGAGGCAAAATTGGAGGAGAAAATGTACCTTGAAGAACTGGTACTCGAATGGAGTAGCAGTACCAATGATTCACAGAATGAGAGAGATGTTCTCGACAAGCTAAAACCTCATACAAACTTGAAACGCCTTGAGATTAAAAACTTTGGTGGCACAAGATTTCCAGATTGGTTGGGAGATAAATCATTTTGTAATATAGTGCATATGTCTCTTGACAATTGTGAGTATTGTTTTTCCTTGCCACCATTTGGTCAGTTGCCCTCTTTGAAAGACCTTGAAATTTCAAGGATGCAAGGAATAACAAAGGTAGGCCATGAATTCTATGGAGATAGTTCTTTAAGAAAACCATTTCAATCTCTAGAGACTCTTATATTTGAAGAAATGTTGGAGTGGGTGGACTGGTATATATTAGAATCTGGAGAGTTCTCTAAGCTTAAAGAGCTTCATGTAATCAAATGTCCAAAGCTGATTGGAGGCTTACCCAAACACATTCCATCTTGTGTGAGACTTGAGATTCAGAAATGCTCAAGACTTATGGCCCAACTTTCGAACAGTTGTGGTGCAGGCACAAGTGAATTAGTATTGAATAGATGTGATGGGGTAGAATTGGGGTGTCGAGGTTTGTCTTCCCTTACAAAATTGAAGATATCAGGTATGCCTAATTTAAAGGAATTGACACCCGAGCTGTGCACTTTAACAAATCTGAAGGAGTTCAGGATAGATAGTTGTCCAAGCCTATTGTCATTCCCAGATACAGGGTTGCCACCCATGCTTACACACCTTTCAATCTGCCATTGTAAAGTTCTACATTCTTTGCTGCCCAGATCCGAGGATATGGAGAACTGCTACAAATCCCTTGAAACTTTGTCCTTATCACGCTGTGATGCTCTCAAACCGATGTGGCTTGGATTCTTTCCAAAGCTTCGATCCCTAGGAATCCGGTTTTGTACGAATTTCAACAGTATTACAGATCTAAACATGCTTGGGCTCCAAAATTTGGCATCTCTCGAGTCACTTTTCTTAAGTGGGTTCTCTAATCTGATATCTTTTCCCCAAGGAGGACTACCCGGACTCAAGCTGACTAACTTTAGGATCCGGCAATGTAAGAAGCTCGAGTCGCTACCTGAAGGAATGCATGCCCTCTTCCCATCTCTTCAATCACTAGAATTAGTTGGTTGTCGAGAAATTAAGTCTTTTCCAGAAGGTGGGCTTCCCTCCAGCTTACGTTCACTTGAAATCCAAAATTGCAGCAAACTTACTGTTCGCCGAAGAGAATGGGATTTGCAAAGGCTCCCTTCTCTTAGACACTTCAGATTAGTAGGTGGAGATGGGGTGGAGTCCTTTCCGGAGGAGGGGTTGTTGCCCGCGACTCTTATGTCACTCCGCATTGATTATCTACCAAATCTGAAATCGTTGAACAACAGGGGCCTTCAACTCCTTGGCTCTCTCAAATACATAAAGATTCTGGGATGCCCTCAGCTCCAATCCTTGGTCGAAGAGGGGCTTCCCACCTCTCTCTTTATGCTGGAATTCTTTGGCTGTCCAATGCTAAAACCTCGCTACCTCAAGGGGGAAGGACAGGACTGGCATAAGATTGCCTGTGTCCCTGTTATACACATGGATGGTGAAGTGATCTTTGACCAACTCACTCTTCGTCCAGCAATGGATTCTCAACCTGGTACACTGTACGTACTTCCACATTCACTTCACAAGCTAATAGTTCTATTTTATTTTTTGTTTTTTTGTTTTTTTTGTCTGTCTATATTGATCATAAGGTTGGCTTTGAGTAATGATATACAAATAATAATATTTTGAATTTTTTTGATTTGTTTTTTTAAAATATTAAAAAATATTTAAGAAAAATTATTTTTTTTATTTTAAATATATAGTTTTTATTTGAATATTTTTAATTTTTTAATTTTAAATATTTTATTTTATTTTGTGAATATTTTAATTTTTTTAATTTTAATATTTAAACTTAAAACACAACTCCACACTCAAATTGTAACTAAATACATAACTCAAAACTCAATTTAAAAACTATTTTCAAAATTCATAACCAAACACATAATTTGAAACTCCATACTACATTCAAAACCACACACTCAAATCGTAACCAAACACATAACAAAAAAAATTAAAATATTTAAAAATATAAAACTCAAAACTCCCTCCAAATCTCAATACGAAACTTTTTTCAAAACTCATAACCAAACAAATTTTCTCTTTTCAAAACTCATAATTCAAAACACGACTTCACACTCAAATCATGATTCTAAAAATAATTTCATAAAACAAAATAAAAAAAATATTTTATTGATTTTTTTTAAATAAAAAAAAAAGATTTTTGAGTTGTGTGTTTAGTTATGAGTTTTAAATTTTTTTTATTGGAATCATAATTCCAAAAGAGAACCAAACGCAGTAGTAATTATCCTAAACAATTTTTTTTTTATGTTTTATTTCTGAAAGGAACTTGCATAATTCGAAAATTTGTAATTCTTCATTTTGATGAATATGTTTGTTATTTGTGTTTGAAGTTCAGTATTTCTAATGGTTAATGGTTTGCACAATTCTTGTTATGCCTGCAAGTTGAATTCTTCCTCGTCAGAAACTTGTTTCAAGGACTATCGATGAAAACCAAAACCTTCTCTACCTTTTAAGTTTTTTGGTAAAAAGTACTGCAAGTTTGCATAAATTTGTTGTTGAGTGCATTTTACTTGGTGCTGTGTTTGTGCATTTGACCAAGCTTGTGTTCTTCAGAGTTACATCAGTGTTGGATTTCTTACATTTTTTAGTTTTATCCTTTCCATAAGTTTTTTATATTTTATTTATAAATTAATTTTTTTATTACTTCATATTTCACTAATTTAGAAATTAATTTTCCTAAGTTGTAGCATACTATTTTAAGGTCATTGTACATCATGTTTTCCAACTCTCATTCATTTTCTTTCTAGTCAATGACAATGAATACATGGTTTGGTCTTCTTGCATGGCTTTTAATTAACTATCAGTCTTGGATGTCCAAAAATGTCCAGGATGTGCCGATCGGAGATCATTCGGGAATGTGTAAGATGTTGATGATCTTTTACCATGATGTTGAAGTAAATGTGTAACCCTCTCAGCTTCAACTTTCAACTTTTACTGGTAACTTTTTACATTAGTTTGCTGGTCTTATAGAGTTCTTTTACTGCTAAAATTGGGAGTGAAGCACTCAGAAGTGTTTTTGACATTCCATGATTTTGAATTAAAACAGTTCTGATGATGCAATTTGGAGGAATCGAAGTTGGATAAAAAAGATTGAGGGAAAGCTCTATCATATAGAGTTCTGCTTTTTAACTTAGAATAAGACCAATCCAATTTTTGAGTCTTGGAGTAAAACATATTATGTGGAGATTCTTCTTCTTCTTCTTCTTCTTCTTCTTCTTCTTTTCGCTCCAGCTATTGGATTGTTGAACATATTTGAATGTCAATGTTCTACATTAGAAACATGTTTTTATGTGACTCAGTTATGTTCTTGTCATAATCTGCTAAAAATTTGTGTTATGTAATGCCCCTTTTTCAGGAAAATGTGTACTTGTTGGTTCCTTTTCTAAGAAAGAATGTACTTCTTTTTCATTTAATATTTTGCCTTTCCATATGGATGACCATATTACAAATACAGGAATTTGTGTTATTATTCTTTCTAGTTTTACTGGCACTTTGTGCATTAGTTTGCTAGTCTTATAGAGTCAACACATTCATCAATTTTTTATCGCTTGCACTCAAGATGCTTTAACATTACATGCTTGTGAATTAAAACAGTTTTGAATATGTGACAGAAAAGAAATAAAGTTAGATAGCATAAATCAGAGGTAATGCTTTCTTTTTTGGATTGCCACTTCTCAAGTTCTGTGACAATTTCCATAGAGTTCGGCTTATAGCTTAGAAGAAGGTCAATCCAATCTCTGTGACCTGGAGTCAATTCACTTTTTAATCTGTTAAAATCTTGTTACCTCAGTATTGAATTAGTTATTTAACAAAATACATAAGGGCCAGGACTTAATTAATGCATTAATTGTGAAAGGGCAATATCATCCCTCAATGTCAAAAGTATTTTTTTGAGAAAATTACTAATTAGGGGTAATTTGAGAAAGTAATTACATATTTATTATATAAAAAAAATAGTTATAATATTATTAATAATTATAAACTTCACTATTTATTTGTAATTATTTTTTAATTTTACATTGATACAAAATTTTTACTATTTTCTTTCCCTCTTGGATATCTTCTCCCACATTTACCTCTTTCTCTTCTACCTTTTCTTTTTTTCTTTATTTATTTATTATCTAAACTGCCACTGGGTATTCACAGCACAACACAACGATCATTCCACCATAGTTTCCGATGCAGCTCCATCTCTAGTGGAGAATAGAAAACAAATTTAAGAGAAGATAACCTTTCAAATTATGTCGGTCCATGATTTAGCTACACATCTTCATTCTAAATGGCCATGTGGTAAATGGTAATCAAATTATGGTTGTACCACAAAAAATTGTTGCATCTAGATAAAAATTTAAAATCTAGGAAAAGATGCTCCCACCCCTTTCTCTCTCTCTCTCTCTCTCTTAAATTGGGCTTTAATAGTGTAGAGTATGAGCTCTAAATCAGTATTAGGCTGTTTGTTTTGGGGGGAAGTGGATTTTTATAGGAACCCTCATATTTCTGAAGTAATGTTGTCAAGAGCACAAGACATATTAAGTAGAACACTAGCATGGTTAAAGTAGTGTTAAATATGTAAACATGAATTCATTTTCTATTCCAAATCCGTTAAGTGCTTGTCGTTTGCTTCTCTTGCCCTGACTGAGGTTTTCCCTTCAATCCAAAAAGTGGTTCTTGAAAATAAGTCCTCATTTGTGACACTACAAGGTGCTTCCACGTTGCATTTCTTGCTAGTGTGATGCTTTAAATTTGCATTTATTGGAAGTTGATCTTTTTCTTCATATGTGTGTGTTAAGCTATGGACTATTGTGTTGTCACTACTACATTTTAATTGTTTGTTTCACTCCTTGCACTAGATAGCGTTCAACTTGGGTTTCTACCAAGAAATGTTGCAAAGTGGGTTGCTCCTTTATTAGATAGTGGCTTATTCAGGTTTTCTGGATATGTTATTCAAAAGAAATACTTGTGACTGCTTTAGAAGGAAGCACTAGCATAGTACAAATGATACTGTATGTGTCACAGGTGATGTTTAAGTCATATACTGGATCTTTTCCTATTGCATGATAGTATGTTTATGCCAAGTTTTGGTGGTGTTATCTTGTGCAGGGACCTGCCTTTTCAGACATATCAAAAGTAGTGCAATCTGAACATGTTTCTGCAATATGTTCATTAGTTGCATCAATTCAGAGGTCTACAGGCCTCTGGCGACTTCAAGAGGTAATAGTGATGAAGTTTGTGAGATTATAGTTTTTCCTTTAGTATGTAGGAACATTCAACTGTGGTGTGATTTGTGATTGGGAGGGTTGCATTGGAAAACTAAATCGTATGCTGTATTGGTTTGGGGCAACCTATGTAATTTTTGGAGGTTTCCTCAAATGCAACTGGGAGAAGTTGGAACATTTAGATCCAAGGGGACCATGGCCTTCCATGCTTCCGCATCTCTTGTACACAGTTTCTTACGGTTCTAATGAGAAACCTATTTTGCACGCATGGGCATTTTTTATGTGTCAGTCAAGTGTTAATTCATCACTTTGTTGTTGGAAGATTTGGATTTGCATATATTTACATGTTTATGAATGCATGACTCATTTTATGTTTCAAAAATTGTTAATAAAATATGGATTAGCTTGTAAAACATGGTACAAAAGATTTTGAGTCTAGGTTCTATCTATGCACAAAAAACTTCTCGTATTTATTTATTTATTTATGTTTTTTTTCCTGTTTAGCAAAAATGTATTTGTTACACGGTCTTAGGTAAAACTCAACCCTAAAAGCTAGCTATTGAGGTGTGGTGCCCTCACGCTTATATACTTCACATTACTTTAGTACCCAAGCAATAGGAGACTTCGCTTCACAACATTAAGATTTCTCTTATTTTTAACATTAAAGTTTCCATTAGATTTTTACATGTCTCTTCATGGTAAGTAATGTGAAAATGTGCTATGAAATTACCTGAGCAAGCAAAAGCACCTTAAATTGGTGACTACTTGGAAGTTGTATATTTAATAAAAAGGAAAAAATAAGAGTGCTAAATATTGGGATTATGGATCAAAGGTTAGAAAAGTTCAATCTGAATCTTGTTGAAGCTACCAGTTCTCCAAAAAATTCAGTCTGATTAAATATGTATTTGTTCCTGTCCTCGAAACAGTCATCTTATCCTTTTAAGTTTGACATTTATCTTTTTGTTTCTTTTGTTTGTATCATGTTTTAATTCATTACAAATGGCCATAATTTATCTTCTTTTTGTTTCTTTTGTTTGTATCAGGTTTTAAGTCATTACAAATGGCCAGAATATTTGGAAACTGATTTTGTTTTCGTTGAGTGTTTTCTTGTATAATACTAGACTCTTCTCCAGAAATTTGAAATATATTTATCTCAGTTTACTTATCTGTTCTATTGTCAAGGTTCATCCTCAATTGGGTTAGTTACTACACAGTTTTTAGCTGCATTTTCAACAGCATCTGGAAAGACATCAGTGCAGTTCTCTGAGTCTGAGGAGTCTGATCCAGATGTAAGAAACTTTTACTATTTGCTATTCGTGTAGCATGAATTAAAATCTGAAATACTTTAATCTTTGGAATCAGTAGTTCATTCATTGTTAGTTGCTTACAGTGGGGCTGCTGGAGTGCAAGTCAAGAGATAAGAAACCCATCCATTAGAATCATTTTTCCCACAATTGAAAGAGTGAAAAATGCAAGTTGTGGAATCTTAGCTTCAAAATACTTTGTGTGTTTCATGCAGGTATCCTGACCTTTTGATTAGCCGCAAGATAATTTAATGGCTTTTAACTGGATTCCATGTGTTATTTGCTTTGTTTCTTTGTTTTTTTCCTCTTTTTTTAAAAAAAATAAATTATTCCTGATTTTTATATTTCACTAAGGTGTGGGACAAAAGTATAGGTGTGCAACTAAGTCCCACACAGCCCTACGGAGGTTTATGAGGAATATCTCATGTCTAGCCTGGTTAAATCATATATTCTGAATTCAAAAAAAAAAAAAAATTTTCCGCAAATCCTTACCATTGAAGCTGGCAGTTCAATCACCAATCACTCACAAACGATGATTGTAAAGTAGGCATTTTATTTT